CCAAGAGACTGGGATGCCTGTCTGCTTTTCTTTGTACAACATACAGCACAGGCCCATAGACAGTCAATTAGAAAAGAATTTATCAAGTATTAAGTGACAGGTCAACAGCAAGGAGATAAGCAGAGTATAATATCAGGGGAAAGGGATTATTACTGAATTCACAATGCCAGGCATTATGATTCACTCAGTTACCAGTATACCTGTGAATAATCAGAGTTGTACTAGCATCTTGCTCAATGAAACACAGTTGTATTTGCTGGTGGCAGAGGAAAACAATCATTGGGACATCCCTTTAGCTGGTGGGAAAACTTAGAGCACCTACTACACAATGGTTAGAAATAATGAAAGTCCATTAGTCATAAAAGGAATTCAGGGAGGTCTTAAACAGACTATCTATGACTATGTTTCATAGGACAAGCCAGTTCCTGATACCTTCTTTAACATCAATTGCATTTCTAATTTTCCTGCATCATTGCCTAGGACAAAAGCCTTGATAATGATCTACTTCTAGTGGAAAGCTAAGAAAACACAGAGAGAGAGAGGGAGGGAGAAAGAGAAAGACAGAGAGGGAGAGATATATGATAGATGGATGATTGATAAATAGACATGAATTTAACTACAAGATTATCAACCAGTTACTGTGTTTCAAGGAGTTGGTTTGTTTTTTTTTTTAAAGAATTCTAGCTGTGAGCCTGCTTGAAGGGAAGGTTCATTCTAGGCATTTAAAGTAAAAGCTACCTTTAAAAAAATTTATTTATTATTTTTAATATTCTTTTCTTTTTAAATTTTGAGTTCCAAGTTCTCTCCCTCCCTCCTACTCCCTCCAATACCCACTGAAGTGTCAAGCAATATACAAATTATACGTGTGAAATCATGCAAAATATATTTCTATATTAGCCATCTTTTTTTAAAAAGCAAGACAAAGAAAATGAGAAAACTATACTTCAATTTGCATTCAAAGTGCATCAGTTCTCTCTTTTTTCATCACAAATACTTTGGAATTTTCTTGGATCATTGTACTGGTTAGAGTAGCCAAGTCTTCATTACAACATTGCTGCTACTATGCACGATAATCATCTGGTTCTTCTCACTTCACTTTGCATCGGTTCATACAGTTCTTGCATAGGTTACGTTTCAAAGTAAGCCTAAAAACCAGGAATACACATAAGCCAACTGGAAGATCTGACCACAAATTCTTCACTTCTGGGGTACACCAGGCAGTGTCACCATCCCCAGCCCTCACTAAGTCAAATCACTAAGAGTAAAGAGCTCTCCTTCTTTTCAATGTGTTGTTCAGATACCAAAATGTTCTGTGTTTGAATTTTATACCATTCCAAAACCAGACCAGTCAACATACATTGAGAATCTGTGTATCTAGAGCAGGGATCAGCCAACTACAGCCCATGAGATAAATCTGGCTGACTACCTATTTTTGTACAGCTTGCAAGCTAAGAATGTTTTTTCAGTTTTAAATATTGTATTTGGATATAATATTTCAGGAAACTAAATATAATTCTCCCCTTGTGGTAGGGAAGGGGAGAAGTACTATGACAGAATTTTGTATATATTGTCAGATGTGGCCACCATATTGAGTATTTTTCATACAAAGGAGGGTTCAATCTGGAAGGAATAAAGGGATACTTTTTTAGATGTATGATCTTTGGTACCCATTTTTCAGTATTTCTTTCTGCAAGGCAATTGGGGTTAAGTGACTTGCCCAGAGTCACACAGCTAGTGAGTGTTATGTGTCTCAGGCCAGATTTGAACTCAGGTCCTCCTGATTCCAGGGCTGGTGCTCTACCCATTGCGCCACCTCACTGCCCCAATACCCATTTTTCACATGTAGAATCCCTAGAATAACTATGCCATATTCAAAGTTCTTTGGGGCCCATGTCTACCCAAAAAAATAATACTTCATAAGCCTCTATTGGTCTATTTTTTCTCTAGTCATATAGAAGACACAATAATAAAGAAAAAATATTTAATGAAATAGCATAGGAAGAAGATTTGTAATAAAGAATATGTAAAGGGAAGCAAAGTATAAGAAGACTGGAGAGGGAGAATGGTCCAGGTTTTAAACTAGAAGTATGGTTTTAAAAGCTAACAGAGGACTTTATATTTGATTCTGGAGGTAATAGGAAGCCACTGGATTTTATTAGCTATAGGTTATGATTTCAGGAAGACCAATTTTGCACCTAAGTGGAAGATGGATCAGAGAAATGAGAGATTTAAGGTAGAGAGACCTACTAGCAGGCAATGCAAAGTCCAGGCTTGAGGCGATGAGGGTCTGTACCAGGATGGTGGCATTGTCAGAGGAGAAGAAGGGGCATATCTTAAAGAAGATACAAAGATAGAAACCATAGGATGTGGCTGCAGACTGTATATAAGGGAAGGGGGGAGAGAATAAGGAGCTGAGGATGACACCTAAGTTTTGATCCTGAGTGAATGGAAAGATTGTACCCTCAGCCACTACTGAGGTCTTAGGGAAGTTGGGAAGAAAGGTTGGGGTGGAATGAAGATAATGAGTTCAGTTTTGGACATGTTTAGTTTAAGTGTCTATGAGACATTCAGTTTAAGATAGCCAATAGGCAGTTAGAATTTCAAGACTGGAGATGGAGAGGTTAGAACTTGATAAATAGATGTGGGAATCATCTAAATAGAAATAACAATTGAATCCACGAAATCACAGAGTGAAATAGTATAGAGGAAGAAGAGGGTCATGCCCAAAGAGCTATAAAAGTATGCATACCCTTTGACCCAGCAATACCACTACTAGGTCTGTATCAAAAAAGAAATAAAAAACAAAAAGGAAAAGGATCTAAATGTACAAAAATATTTATAGCAGCTCTTTTTCTGGGAGCAAAAAATTAGAAATTGAGGGGGTGCCCATCAATTGGGGAATGGCTTAACTAGTTGTGGTATGTGATTATGATGAAATACAATTATACTATAAGAAATGAGCAGAATGCTCTCAGAAAAACCTGGAAAGACTTGCATGGACTGATGCAAAATGAAATGTACTATGAACAAAGTAACAGCAATATTGTAAGATGATCATCTGTGAATGACTTAGCTATTCTCAGCAATACAACAATCCAAGACAACTCTGAAGGACTTCTGATGAAAAATGCTATCCATTGGGCAGCTAGGTGGCGCAGTGATAGAGTTCCAGCCTTGGAGTCAGGAGGACCTGAGTTCAAATCTGCCCTCAGATGTTTGACACTTAATAGCTGTGTGACCCTGGGCAAGTCACTTAACCTCAATTGCCTCATCAAAAAGCCAAAAAAAAAATGCTATCCGTTCCCAGAGAAAGAACTGATGGTGTCTGAATACAGATTGAAACATTATATATGTGTATGTATGTGTGTGTGTGTGTGTGTGTGTGTGTGTGTATACACACACACACATATATATATACTTTGTTTTCTGGAGGGTTTTTTGGTCTATGTTTTCTTTCACAGCATGACTATCATGGATATGTTTTGCATGACTACACATGTATAACCTTTTAAAAAAAAGGCCTAGAAGAGAGTACTGGGGGACCCTTATGGTTATGATTTGATCGAAGCATAAGCAAAGAGGACAGAGAAGGAATAATCAGACAGCTTATTAGAAAGGGCAAGAGAAAGCAGTGTCAGAAAAATCTAGAGAGAAGAGAGTTTCAAGGAGAAGAAGGTGATTGATGGTGTCAAAGGCTGCAGAGTGATCAAAATGTATGAGGACTGAGAAAAGGCCATTAAATTTGGAGATTAAGAAATCATTGGTAACTGGAGAGAGCAGTTTTAGTTGAATGCTGAGGTCAGAATCCAGACTACAGAGAGTTAAGAAGAAAATGAGAGGAAATGAAGTAGGGGTACTGATGAGCAATCTTATCAAGAAATTTGGCCATGAATGTAAGGAGAAATAAAGAATAAATGAGTTTAAGCCAGAACAAAAGATAACTCAGGGCTTCAAGTTTAGTGTTCTCCAACCACTTAGCCCATGTTTCTATATTTATTAAGCTTATCTGTCAACAGAAAAGCCAACTTGTTTTGGGACTATATTTCAGCTAGCAAAAAGTCTCACACTCCCTACGCAAAACAAGTATGATATAAAGACAAAAGGTGTCACAAAATGTTGGGTTTTGTTTGTCTGTTTAGAAAGAAATCCAGTGAGAGTTTTGAATTAAATCTTATTATGACTGTGAGTAAACCTTAGGAAAATCCAATCAATGACTGCTTTATTTCCCCCGGTAAGCCTGGTATAAGTCACAGAAGATAATAAGGTGTTTTGGGTAAACATATTCATGTCCTCCAAACAATAATATTCTTGTCTCTGCTCACCATAACTAATTACTATACATGCTTGGAATTGCTACAAAACTTAGAATAGATATCTTTAGATAAGGAGGTATTTGATCATTGGACTTTCTTCTTGGCAAGGAGCAATTCTGTGACATGGAGACCCTTTAACGTGCTTTGAGACTCCCCTACTCCCAAGGATATGTGTCTTTCTTGTTTCCTTATTAGAATATGGCTAAGTGATGTCCCATGGGGCTCTGTCCTGGGTTCTCTTCTCTTCTCCCACCACACTACTTCACTTGGTGATCTCATCAGCCCTCATGGATTTAACTATCATCTCTATGTTGATAGTTATACTGCCCTAACCTCTCTGTTAACATCTTGCATCTCTAACTGCTTTTTAGAAATCTTGAACTGGGTTCTAGTGCCTTCCCTCTGTTAATTATTTCCTATTTATCTTGTATATACTTTGTTCATTTTATTTGCTAATTGTCTCCCCTATTAAATTGTGAACTCCTTGAGGGCAGGGACTGTCTTTTGCTGCTTTTTGTATCCCTAGCACTTAGCACCATTGCCTGGCACATAGTTGGTGCTTAATAAATGCTCATTGATTGGCTGGCGTGGTGCCTTACCTCCATAGTTTTAAAAGCTCTTTCATTCACTCCACCTTTTATACAATGCCACCAAAGTCAAGACTTGCTGGATGAAACTAGTTTATTACCATAAAGCATCAAATACAATGAAGACATAGAAATGTATTAAGAGTTGAAGGAGAAAAATGCAATTAATGCACTCAAGCAATGCTTTTTCCGAAGAGGAAGAAATGGAACTTTGCTGACAAGTCTACTACAGACTAGAATCAAATGGCAGAATTTCTCTTTGTTTTTTTTAAAGACCATAGGTAATCCTAACTTTCCACCTTCTATCAGTAACTGATATTTTGGATTCCTGTTAGAGCCATATGCTTATACTGATCCCTCCATGAAATACTGATTTCAGGGAAACCTCAATTGCTAGAGAAGCATAACCACGTGAGAGGTAGCCAAGCTCTTATTCAACATATCTTTAACCATTCCTTTGTCTACCAAAAAAATCTCTTTCCAATGCTGTTAGTGACTTCATTCAACTTACTGTTACTCTACCAATTGGAATAGGTTATACTTTTTGGCATTGCTCTCCATGGACTTTATTTTTCCTTTAGGGACTTTTAAAGTACCCTATTAGGCACTGCTCTATTCTGTGTATTTCACTCTTTCCTCAAAATATAAAAATCTGAAAGCTCTCAGAATACGCAGATATCACACAGAGCTGTCATAATCTCCCATGAGGTTGATGGGAAAAAATATATATTTTTTTCTCCTGAAGAAATCCAATAGCTTCTAGTGCCACGAGATTTATGAGAAAACATATTTCACTGCTTTTCTCCTATACAGAAATAGTTTCCCTAAGAATTCTGTTTTAAGAGAAGGTGAAATACAGAGCCCTGATGATTTGAAATTAGTAAATGGCATGGTCTTTATAGGAATAGAAATGTGAATTTCTTAAAAGTTTTAAGCTACTTGTATTTATCTATGAACATTTCACACACTGCTCCTGTTCAACCAGGTCCAGAACTTCGTGAATGAGCTTAGTAGTGGTCTGTGTAATAGGGTAACACAGTGGAAGTCTTTTTTCCAGAGTTGGCATGTGAACAAAGTACCTGCAGATCAGAAAGAGAAAGAAAATGGATGAATTTTTAAAAAGGGAATTATTCCAGTAGGCCACATCAGCAGACAAAAGCGTCATTCTGGATCAAAGGATCACAGATTTAGAGTTGGGAAGAGACCTCAGAGGCAATTAATTCCAATCCCTTTTTACAGATAAGGAAACTGAGGTCTTTGGACTCCCAAGAGATTTGTGGATAGACTCGAGGGAGTCCATGAACTTGCATGGGGGGAAAAATATATCCTTATTTTCTTTAACTTATTTCTTGCAATCCTATGTATTTTATTTTATACATTTAAAAACATTCAGGCAATGGACAATTATAACATATAAAAAGTTTGAGAGATATAGCTTCTGAGTAATTAATCATTTTATTAATCATTATAGCAGATAATTAATAAAAGGGATCAGTGGCACTCTTGAATACCCAACGACCCCTCATGGAACCCACTCAACGCTTCTATGCCCTTGGAAGGGTGGGTGTTCCTGACAATGGCAATCTGACTATGGTTAAAAGGTAATGAGAGAATGAATGTTATAATGAGAGGTGGATCAATTCTAATGAGGGGCTGGGGAACATAACTGAATATGTCACTCATGTACAAAGAAAGACTATCTCCAGCCAGACCACCCCCAGCCTGGCAATCCAGCCTGCCTGAGTGGAAGACAATGGGTAGGAATTCACCATAGATTAAGTTCTTTGTAAGGTTCTTTAACTGAATGGTGTAGTAATTCCAAGATTTCATCTCATCATCCACCCTGCCCTTCAAAGAACTAAGCTTTCACCTAATCTCCAAATGAGTAAGGAGAAAAAATCCTGAATCTCTCCATATTTGGTTATTATGTATATGCCAGGCATTATGCTAAATGGTAGGAATACAAAGGAAGGCCGAAAAACAGTCCATGCTCTCAAAGAATCTTGGAAATGGTTCATGGGCCTCACTGCTTTGCCAAAGGGGTCCCTGACACATCAAAAACATTAAGAACTCCTACTCTAAATCATACAGTATTCTTTCTACTGCACACCCCTCCCCTCTTACAGAAGGGGTCAGTCTAAAAAGACTCAAGCAGTCTTTTCAGATCCACTCTTCCTCTCCTCCCTTCTTCATTATCTGTACCGTCTTTAATGCATGTTCTCACCTCACTGAAACACTTGAATTTCAGCGAAGTAAATATATTTCATTCATAATGCATCGATCACCAAGACATAAATGGACAGGTACAATACAGTCTCTACCAGATAAGATAGGACGCTTGCTTCTCGGTTCTCAGCTAAATAATGTGAGACTGGCAGTGGAAGCTGTGCTGGGAGGAGGGTACAGAGCAGGCGGGCCATAGAACCGGTACTAGAAGAAGGCAAAGTAGGCAGCTGCTTAGGATTTAAAATGGTGGAAGAGAGGGAGGGCACACAACGAAGGACATTTTTTTAAATTAAAAAATACTTTATTGCTAAAAAAGGCTAATCATCATCTGAGCCAGGCCTGTACAACCTGCAGTCCACTGGCCACTTATGGCCCTCGGCCCCCTTGCAGCATGGCAAAGGATTTCTGGTGGCCCATGAAAAATGTAGAGGAAAACATCCTTTTTATGTAGAGCACAGGCTGGAAGCAGCCAGCAGCCCACAGCTTGTGCAGACCTGACTGAGCCTTCAGAGTGCTGTAATCTTTTTGTTGGTGGAGGGTTTTCTTTATTTTTTTGTAAATAGTATTTTATTTTTTTCCAATCACATGTAAAGATCATTTTCAATATTCATTTTTTTACAAGATTTTGAGTTTTAAGTATTTCTCCCTCCCTCTTTCCCCTCTCCCCTTCCCAAGCCAGCAAGCAATCTGATATGTTATACCTGTGTGATCATGTTAATGAAGGACATTTTTAATATCACTTGTGACAAGTGCAGATTCCACCAAGGCCCTTCTCTGATGTATCATCATGGCAGAGAAATAACCCTGGGTTCTTGAAGGCTGTGTTAGTAAAACACAAGCTCTAGCCAGCCTTTACAGCTTTATAGAAGGGGTCAGTCTAAAAAGACTCAAGCAGTCTTTTCAGATCCACTCTCCCTCTCCTCCCCTCTTTATTATCTGTACTATCTTTAATGCATGTTCTCACTTCACTGAAACACTTGAATTTCAGCAAAGTAAATGCATTCCATTCATAATGCATCAATTACCAAGACATAAATGGACAAGTACCATACAGTCTCTACCACAGAGTAAGGTAGGGTCCTTGCTTCGTGGCTCTCAGCTAAAGAATATAAGGCTGGGGATGGAAAGACTTTGAGTACAGGCCAGGCAGCAGATTTTCGTCTGCCATTTAAGGATCACCTTAATTAACTGAGGGAAGACCATCTGATGATGTATTTTTTTAATCATGGCAACTCACAAAGACTTTCTATTACAGTATGGAGGCATTACAGTTAGTAAAGGAAGTACTTATGGCTAAAATTAGGGGCCTTTTGAAGTGCTGATGTGAGAGGGAGTCCACCTGGTAGATACTTCCAGCTCAGGTAATAATTATGAAGAAGGCGCCAGTCAAGCCCACCAACTGCTAACCCACAGAGCAGACAAGCAAGCCTGCTGGGGGTAGAGACAGAAAACAGCAGGATCTGATAAAACCAACCACTTCACCATCTTGACTACTATCTCTCTTCAGATCCTGATGCAGACAGCCCAGGACCTTGAACCCAAAAGCCTTGGGAATGGCAATGCTTTCAGCCCAGGTGCTCTCCGACATTATCATGGGAAGCAACCCCTGAGGTGGTGTAGTGTGGTAATTGCTCCTTCAGGAGTAACAGTCACATCTATTAAAGACCCAGAAAAGAAAGTTCTTGCCTTAGCACTATCAAATGGTTTAACTTCAGAAACAGATAGGATTTTCATCAGTGGAAATTACATTAAAGAAGGGGGCATTAACATCTGCTTTGCTTCATCTCTCCTAAACCTGCTTTTTATCCTCTCTACAACTTCTTATCCCTCTTTTTCTGTTTTGCCCCGATCACATCTCATTTCCCTTTCTTCAGGGACTTCACCCTATAGTTAACCATTTCAAGAAGGCACTATTTTCTGTTCTTAAATCTGTACCACCACCACCACCATCTTGTCCTTTTGCTGTTCTATTAATCTTGAGTCACCCAAGAAGCTGCCTACCTTGCCTTCTCTAATTCCACTCCTGAATGTTGTCAAAATAAGTCACAAATCACTCAAACTGAGTCAACTCCAAATTCATGTGATCTAGCCTCAACTGGGCCCTTGCCACTACAAAGTAACTCTTTTATTCATCTCTGAATATTTATGATACTCTCCACAGTACCCATTCTGAACCTTTGCTCCTCTCTCTTTCTCCAAGCCCTCAACTCCACCCTTACCCCTGCTCTATGATCAGACTACAGGCTTTACTGAAAAGATTGAGACCATCATTTCCCCTCTTCCAGATATCAAAATCTCTATACATCTTCACCTTTGTTTCCATCTCAGATGATGAAATGATCTTCTCCATGACAAAGCCAGTCCTTGATCCCATCACCTCTCATCACCTTAGGGTGTTTGTCCCTTAGTTTATTCCATTTATCATTTTCAATTTCATTCTTTTTAATGGCTCCTTCCCTGTAACTTAAGATCATTCTTAAGACACTCTCCCCATTAAAAAAAAAAATCTTTCTCTCCAAAGGCTCTCCTTTCCCCTGAAGATACCATCCTGTGATGTCTCCTCCATTCTACTTCTAAGGCCTACAGAGTAGTCTAAATTCACTACCTCAGTTTCCCCACAGCTCACTCCCACCCCTAAACCCCTTGCAATTTGCTTTTCAATGCCACCACTCTAAGCTGCTCTTTCACAGGTACCAAATGACATTTTAGTTTCTAAATCCAAAGTTGTGGTTTTTTTCTTCAGACCCCATTCTCCTGATCAGTGCTCTTTGAAGCATTCAACATGACAGACCAGCTTTCCCCTCCTGAATACTCTCTCCTAACCTGGATTCAGTGATTTTGCCCTCTACAGCCTCTTCTTTCTTATTTGCCCTCTCTTCAGTTTCCTTCACAGATTCCTCTTCTCTGTGTGGCTGTTCTCCATATCTCTGTCTTTAGCCTTTTTCTGTGTGCTCTCTCACTTGGTGATCTCATCTTCTCCCATGAATTTAGTTATTATCTTTGTGCAGAGGGGCCCCAAACCCATGTAGCCAGCTCCATTCTCTCCTCTGACCTTCAGTCCTACATCTCCAAACCCTTGTTCTAACTTTCCAATATCTGTTGAGAGCAACACTTCTAGCCACCCAGACTCACAAACTTGAGTTATTTTTTTTTCCCATTCATTCATTCTCCAACTCACATATTTTGAGGGGTTACTTTCAGTTCTATTGATATATTTTGTTTTTACATTACATACATTTACAGATTACTCCTATGTTGTAGGAAAGTAAAAACAGTTAAGTAAAACTACTAATACAATGTCCTCACCTAAAAGTACATGCAACATTTAAAATCTGTAGTACACTCCCACCCCCATCTCCACCTCGCTTTTAAAAAAAAAATTAACAGAAACCTGTTTTCTCTTATCCTATAGCCACCCCCATTAAAAAGGGAAAAAAAATTCTTGCCCAAGATCACTCACATAGTATTTTGCAAAGTAAAGATTCAAACTCAGGTCTTCTAAGTCAAGTATTAACATCACAGTGATGATAAGATTAGGGTCTTAGGTCCTATTGGGTTGGTTAGGTTTAGGATTTCAGAGTATATTGATGGATAGGAATAAAAAGGCTCAATACGAAGGAAGCAAGTGAAACAAATGAAAGAGACGTAAGGTGAGCCATATACATGAGTTGCCTTGTTTGCAGAAAAATATCATCTTAAGGCTATCCAAAAGGATCCATACAGATAAGTAGTGCTCAGTCATTTGTTGTAAATCCCTCTTTGCAGAGGCATTGGACCTTAAGATCACAGTATGGGGAACTGGATCCCAGCTGGATGCAAAATGGGACAAAGGGAATGAAGAAGGCAATGAGTGAAGAAAGAAGTTTCAAGTTTTTCCCTGTATAGAATTTTTATCCCAAAGAAGAGAAAGCTTTATAAGGGTGTCGGAGTAGGTCATGAATAGAAGGTGTGGTAACTACTCATGTTTTGGGGGGATATATGACACAATAGCATAAGTCATTTCCAAAGATACCCACAAAGTTAAGTTGGACTTAGACTCTACTCAAACCTAATACCCTGGGTACCTACCTCCTTCTCTTTCTATCCCCCATGGTGAAGCAAGCTATACTAAATGATTACCTTCATCAAGGTTGGACTTAGGAGTTATCTCTGTGTCCACAGGGCCAAGGGCTAAGAGTTAGAATTAAAAAAAAATACTAACAGAAGTTGGGGAAATCTTCCCCATAACCTTCAATAGGTTGAAATGAGAAAGTGGTAAGAAGCAGGACACACACACTGATTTCTATATCTATAAATGCCATCGCAGGATCAGAATTTGGAACTCATTTACAATCCCCACCTCCTCACCCAAACACCCCTCTCCATCAGCAAAGGTGTTATGCCTGTCCAGATGCTCAGGAAAGAATGCTGAGTTGCTGCACAATTTTCACCCTTCTTGGGTTCAGATGATGCATACAGCAGATTTTTTCCCTTCTCTTAGTGGGTGCTAATGGAGAACTATGACCACTAAGTATATTTGGTTTTTCTTGTTTATAAATAGAAGTAGGACAAGGAATGATGGATGGATGGTGAAACAAACTCTTACTGTTTCTATTCCTTAATACTGTTCCATTACTTAGAAAAAAAAGGGCAAATGGGAGGGAATAGACAGCAAAAGACATTAATTTATATATTATTGTAAATATATTATATATATATTTAAAGAGTACATTAATTAATGTTTAATTATTTCATTAATTTTATTTAATTATAATATAATAATTATATATAATAATTAATAACAAATTAATTAATTAATCCTCCTTTATTCAGCAGTTTTTAATTACTTACTATCTGTAAAGCACTGGGCTAGACTCTGAGGGAGATAAAAAGATAAAGAAGACAGAGTCTTTGTCCTCAGGAAGTGGGAGGGGTGAATAAACAAATAACTGTAATTCAAAATGTTGCATAAATATATCAGAGAAGTTAGTGATGAAAGGGGGCAGCTAAGGGCCACAGTGGATAGAGCTTTGCCCACCCCTGCTTCCAGCAGGATTTCAAATCCGGCCTCAGACATTTACATGCTAAGTGTCCCTGGGCAAGTCACTTATCTTGTCTGCCTCAGTTTCATCTTATGTAAAATGAGAGAAGGGGAAAGGAATAAACATTTCTTAAACTATGTATGTGTCAGGAACAGTGCTAAAAGCATTTTACAAATATTATCCTATTTGATTCTCACAACAACCCTATGAGATGGATGCTATTATTATCACTATTTCCTGAGTTGAAGAAGCTGAAGCAAAGAGAGGTTAAGGGTCACATAGCTAGCAAGTGTCTAAAGCCAGATTTGAACTCAGGTTTTCCTGATTCCAGGCCCAGGGCTCTATCTACTTCACTGCAGTTGCTTTTAATTGGGATAGTAATGGCACTTGAGGCTGGGAAAGACCTTAGCTTAAAAAGGCCCAAGATCTCCCACTGCATTCTGGGCCATCTCCAGTCATCCTGATGAATATCTGGCCACTGGGCCCAGATGGCTCCAGAGGAGAAAGTAAGGCTGGTAACTTTGCACAGCCCTCCCTCATTGTAATCCAATTAACCTGCAAGTCATGGCATCATTTTCCTGATGTCATGGTCCTCTTTGAAAACCAAGAACAAACAACACACACAATGGCACCTACCTAATAATAATAGCAACAATAGCTAACATTTATATAGTGCTTCCTATGTGCCAGGCACTATGCTAAGGGCATGACAATTATTATCTCATTTGATCCTTACAACAACCCTGGGAAGTAGGTGCTATTATTATCCCTATTTTACAGAAAAGGAGACTGAGACAAACAGAGGTTAAATGATCCACCCAGGGTCACACAGCCCATAAGTGTCTAAGGCCAGGTTTGAATTCAGGTTTTCCTGACTCCAGGCCCACCATTCTATCCACTGTGCCACCTCGCTACCCAGGGTTGTTGTGAGAATAAAATAAGATAAAATTTGTAAAATGAGATAAAATGTGTAAAGAGCTTCACAAACCTGGAAGTGCTATATAAATGAGCTATTATTATTAATTATAAGAGCTCAGAAGAAAGATCATTTCTAACTTGGGGGAAATCAAGAAAGATTTCATGGCGAAGGTAGCATTTATATACCACCTACTATGTTCCAGACCCTGTGCTAAGCACTTCTACAAATATTCTATTTGATCCTCCCAACAGCCTGCAAGATCCTATTATTATCCCCACTTTACAGTTGAGGAAACTGAGGCAGATAGAAGTTTAAATGACTTGTCCAAGGTCACTCAACAAGTAAGTATCTGAGGCTGGATTTAAACTCAGGTCTTTCTGACTCCAGGTCCAGTGTTCTATTCACTGCATCACCTTCTGCCTCTAAAGAATTTAGTCCGGCAAGATGTATACAATTTTGGCAGACAGAGAAAGGAAATGGGACATCCCAAGGGTCCAGAATATTATAAGCAAATACAAAAAAGTGAGAAAGTATAGGGTTTGTTCACAGAAGTGTGTGTGTGGGTTTGGCAGTAAGACAAAGTACGCAAAGACCGATAATATCAGAGAAGTCTACAGAGGTAGGTTGGTATCCTATTGCAGTGCCAGGCAATGGGGAGACACTGCAGATTTTTTGATAATATATAAAAAAGACCAATGTGACATTAGTATGAAGGATGGAATGGAAGAAAGCAAGGCTGGAATCAGGGAAACAAGTTAGAAGACTTTGTAATAATGGAAATAAAAGGCAAGGTGGGTCTGAACTGGAGTGGTAGCCATGAATAAGGACCCATGATTTCTTTGGGATAGGAAACACCTTCTTACCAATGCGGGTCAGCAACCTTCTCTCCAACTTTCCATCCTGCAGTTAGAGGGTTGCCTAGGTTACTGAGAGAGAGCAAATGATTCGCCCAGAGGTTTCAGAGCCAGTCAGAGGCAGGGCTTAGATCCAGTTCTTTCTGGCTCCAGAGACTTGCTCCCTCACTTCACGTCTCAGACTAAAAAAGAAGTGACCAATTCAATTCTGTTCAAAAAACATTTAATGAACACCTTGAATTTGGTAAAGGATGGGACTGGGAAGGTGAGGAAAGGCTTTCTCCTTTGCTGATTTTCTCAAATTCATAACCCTTCATTTATAGCCTCTCTCAATCGAGTCTGTTGCCCTTAATTACTCATAAAGTGAAATTCACTCTGCTGTGAATTGGTGGTGGCAACAAAGGCCAAAATGGCTTTTTTTAAACCAGCTTGTGTTTTATTTATCCTCTGTGGTCAGGAAGCAGGTTTCCAAAGGGAAAACATTTTCAAGTGCCCTGAAATCCCAGATTGCCTCATTCAGAGAGACAGAGAGGGAGAGACAGAGAGAGAGAGAGAGAGAGAGAGAGAGAGAGAGAGAGAGAGAGAGGGAGTGGGAGAAAGAGAGAGAGAGAGGGAGAGAGAGAGAGAGAGAGAAGAGAGAGAGAGAGAGAGAGAGAGGAGAGAGAGAGAGAGAGAGGGAGGGAGAGAGCCTATAAAAGGAGATGTCAAAGGATTTTTTGCCCAGCGATTAGTCTAAAATCAGCAGACAGACACATCACAGTTTTGCCATGCGTCTCTATCAGCAGTGGGTAGAATTCTACTTGGGAATGAAGTATGGCCATTCTTACCTGAATTCTTCTTTGTGGTTGTTCCTAATGTATTCAGCCAGTGCGCTACTATGCTGCAGGCAACTCTTGAGGATGTAAAACTGTTGGTACAACAGAACAGCCTGGCATGGGCTCAGAAGTGGCAAGGACGTCAGGAGCCCCTTCATCACTTGCTTCACAATGCTGGCCACAAATGAGATCTAGAAATCAAAAACACACATCTGCGTGAGCACACGGCCCACAGACCCAGGAGATCCCTCCATGCTTTAGCTAGATCCTTGACTACACCAGAGGAGTGACAGCACTTGCCAACCCATCACCAGTGTTCTGGGCATTATTTAACGAGGTCTGAGTAAGAGTACACAAGAACATAAAATTTGGATTATGACCAAAGCCCTATTTAGAGTCTAACAATTTGGGGTTCCAGAACAAGAACGAAGAATGTAGTTGTCAAATACTTTGGGGAGGTCACTCTGTGTGTATGTGCACATGCATGCGTGCGTGCGTGTGTATTTTGGTAAGGGACAGTAGGAAGTTCACCTGTGGTATGATTGGTAGCATGTCATTTTAAACTTGCTAAGTGCTAAGCTCAGTTGTTTGTAAGATGCTAAGGGACTATAAGTGTTGTTGTTGTTGTTGTTCAGTTGTTTCAGTCATGTCCGATGCTTTGTGATGCCATTTGGGGGTTTTCTTGGCAAAGATCCTGGAGTGGTTTCCCATTTTCTTCTCCAGCTCATTTTACAGATAAAGAAACTGAGACAAACAGGGTTAAGTGACTTGCCCAAGATCACACAGTTAGTAAGTGCCTGAGGCTGGATTTGAACTCAGGTCTTTCTGACTGCAGGTCTGGTTCTGTATCCACTGTACCACCTAGCTGCACTGCTAGTGGCCTATAAATATTAATGTCCTGAGACAAAGCTCCAGTCATCCTACCCTAGTTACTGTTCTCTCACTTGTATCTTTGTAGCACACTGTTCAAAACAAGTTAAGTAACTTGGACTGACTGAAATGCAACTGAATTCAATCAGTCAACAAGCATTAAGTACCTACTATGAGCTAAGTGGTGGGAATATAAAGATAAGGGATAGTTCCTCCTCTAGAAGATCTCTCAATCCAAAGAGGGAGACATTCATTTGTTCTGTGAAGTCTGATTCAGTCAAAGGGCCTCACTTGAGGACTCAGAGGGCCACATGTGGCCTTGAGGCTGCCGGTTCCCCACTCCTATCCCATCCTTATGTGGGTAGTGTCAAATCATTTCCAATTCTTCCATTAAGGCATGCTTATACCTTGAAGCAATGTTCTTAGCTCAGCCTTTGTGGGGTAGGGGGAGGAGAAGAGTTATTTTCAAACCTATTCTGTCATATGGTATACAGTATCAATAGGGTCTAATGCAACTGTTTCAGAAATACCATCTCTAGCTCACTTACCATCCTTCCATCCCCACATGGATTTCTATAGGTTCACTTTCACTTGTTTTTTTTCCTCTACTTTCTCTGCTAAGTTATAAAATATAAATCTTTTGTGTCTTGCTACGAGCCCCTGTGCTGGGAATGGACCCAGGAATTAAAGAAAATACATCGATCTCTCTTTCTCTGAGTACTTCTTTTTTTCTGAGTACATTTGCATCCTTCATGGTTGTGTTTAATCTTTCAAGTAATACAACAATCAGTAACATACAGAATAAGCAATCACATTATTTTAGAAAAAAAAGTTTCAAAACAATTACAAAATAAAAAACAAGATCTTAACAATAATTAGTAAAGCAGATTCATACCTCAAGAGAAAAAGAACAAGACAGTGAGAAGGCAGGAAACAGAAGAGTAAAATTTACCAATAAACCATAATTTATGAACTTATTAATCATAATTATTTATTAATAAATCATTATTTTACTTGCCTGGCACTGTGCTAAGTGCTAAGGATACAAAAGGAGGCAAAAGACAGTTTCTGCCCTCAAGGAGCTCTCAATCTAATGGAGAAGCTTACAATCACCATGTTATGTTTCCATGGCTCAATGGGTATAATCAGTACCTCAATCCCTCTCAATTTCAGTGCTTCCTTTTTGTTAATCATTTCCTATTTATCCTGTATATAGTTTGCTTAGTATATATTCATTTGCATGTTATCTCCCCTATTAGATTGTAAGCTCCTTGAGGGCAGGGTCTATCTTTTGCCTCCTTTTGTATCCCCAACACTTAGCATGGTGCCTGGCACATAGTAGGTACTTAATAAATTGATTGCACCAGTCGTTTCAGGCTTGTACTCGGGCTCAGCTACAATATCTTAATAATGCAATCATGGCATTGTTTTCTTGTATACCATCTTTCTCCACTTTTATCCCATCTGTGGTGCTTACTCCCTGTAACATCAGTATGGTCTGCAGTCTGGAAATCTGACACCCTCTCCCTCCATGTTCTTGCTAACTTCCCACTTGTCACAAGGTTTCAGCATTTCTCCTTCCAGTAAGATGAGAGACAGACAGAGACAGAGACAGAGAAACAGGCAGGTTGTTCTTTCAGACCAACCCTTTCCATCTCTGGGTCACAGTATAGTAAGAATTTGTCTTGCTCTCACCCACACCTGTTATTCTTCTATAGAGTCATAGTCTATCCCTTTTCAGTCTTGACTCCTCAGTAAATTTCTTCAATTTTACATCATCATCCTCTACTTTTGGATGCTTTGCACACTGGTGTGCAAGTAAGCTTGTTCATGCCCTGCCAAGCCACAACCCCAGGTTATTCTCATCCTCTGCCTCATCTGCTCCTACTGAATCGGAGCCAAAGAAAGTCATGAAACTATGCTGAGTCCACTACAAATTTTTGTTATCTGATCTCAACTGGGTTTTCACTGCAGCAAGCCAAGCCACCTAACCTCTATTTGCCTCAGTTTTCTCAACTGCAAAATGGGAACAAAAACTCCTACCTGGAAGGATTTTTGTGAGGATCAAGTGAAATAATATTTGCAAAGCACTTAGCACAGTGCTTGGCACATAACAGACACATCTATAAACTCTTACTCCCTTCTCCTGCCCTTTCTCTTACTTCATAATTGATTCATTAACCCTGTCACCACAGCAGCTGTTCTACTCTTTCTCTTTTTGCTCCAAGCCTCCCTTGGTACTACCACTCTTGCCAACCCTCTCAGCTAAACAGCTCACCTCATACTTTATTGTGAAAATGGTGACCCTTCAATGAAAGTTCCCTCCTCTCTCCTAATGCTCACTCCATAACCCTTCAACATAACCCTCTACTATGTCCTCCTTTACTCCAGACTCTGATGTGGAGGTGACCTTTTTCCTAGCCAAGGCCATCCTTTTCACATGCACCATTGATTCCATCCCTTCCTATTTCCTCCAGCAGCTTGTCCCCACACTCACTCCACCTTTCCCTTTAATCTTCAGTTTCTACCTGTTGACTGGCTTCTTCTCCGCTGCCTACAGACCCAGGTCTTTCTCATCCTTGAAAAAACAAGAAACGCTCCACTGGCTCTTACCATCCCTGCTAGTTATCATCCTATAAAGCCACCTGTGCTTGTTGCTTTCATCTCCTCTTATCTCACTCTTCTAAACCCTTTGAAATATGGTTTCCAGTCTCATCACTCAACTAAGACGGTTCTCTACAAAGTTACCAGTAATCTTGCAACTGACAAAACTAATGGTCTTTTGTCAATCCTCATCTTTCTTGACCACTCTGAAGTACTTACCATTACTGACTGCAGTCTTTTCCTAGATACTTTCTTTTCTCTGGGTTTGCATGGTTCTACTGACTCTCTCTTCCCCTCTCCCCCTCTTTCCCCTCCCTCCCTGTCTTCTCTCCTCCTCTTTCTCTTTCCCTTTCTCTCTCTTTCTCCCTTTCCCTTTTTCCCTTTCTCTTTCTCTCTTTCCCTTCTTCTCTCTGGCTCTCTCTCTGCTCCTCCTCCTCCTCCCTCTCTCCCCCCCTTCTCTCCCCCCTCTACCTCTCTTTCTCTCTCCCCCCCTCCTCTCTCTGTCTCTCTCTGTGTCTCTTTCTCTGTCTGTCTTTCTCTGTCTCTCTGTCTCTGTCTCTCTCCCCCTCTGTATGTGTGTATCTGTCTCTCTGAGTCTCTTTTGCTGGTCATCATCCATATCCCACCTACTAGCCATGAATGTATGCCAAGGCCCTCTTCTCTTTTTTTCTCTACACTTTCTCACTTGCTTATCACATCTGCTGTCATAAATTCAATGACCATCTATCTCTGTGCAGATGACTCCCAGATTGACATATTCATCCCTCTCTTGAGCTCCAGTTCACATCACCAATTCCCTATTTGACATTTCACCCAACATTTAGTTCCAATGGTTCCCTATCACCTGTAGAATCAAATATCAACTGTATCTGGCATTCCGAGTTCTTCACAACTTGACTCCTTCCTATGTATTCACTCTCCTTACATATTACTCACCCTTCCCAGAACTCAGTGGTCCATCTACCTAGGTCTTCTTGCTGTTCCCCAAACATGACACTCCTTCTCCCATTTCCACTGTGCCTTTGGACTGATAGTCCCCCCGCATCTAAAATGTTCTCCTTCCTCCCTCTTGGAGTCTACGCCTTCCTTCAGCTCCAGCAATGTCTTCAGCAGATGACCTTTCTTGACTCTGTTCCCTTCTAGTGTTTTTCTATCCATGGTTTCCTTGTGGCTACTTTATGTATCTTGTAAATGATTTCAGTATCTATGCACATGTTGTCTCCCGCAAAAGAATGTAAGTTTCTTGAGGTCAAGGATGGTTCATTTTAGACTTTGTATATGTAGTGCTTAGCTTATAAGAGGTTCTTAATAAATGCTTATCACTTGATTTAATTGAAATAAGGAGAAGTCTCTGTCAAGTACTAATTTGTCTGTGAAAAAAATAACTAAGCATTATTCACAGGGCTTAAAATTTGCTTGACTGGCCACATGACAGACAGTCAAATTTCTAATATGATGATAGTGAATATATGAATGAATAATAGGAGATGAAGAGACATGAAACGGCAAGGAGAAAAAGGAAAGTGTTAGAGTCTATTAGTTAAATTTATATGTGTACTAACAAAAACCTAATGAATATGGAGCTTGGTCCACCTCTAAAGTTGTCTAACATTCTGCTCCCTATTCATGCCGAAGTTTTTTCTTATGTAATGAAGTTTTAAGGGTAGGTGGAGGTGGGGGGGATACTGTCCCCCAACTCCTAAATTGAATCAATCAATAACAGGTATGAACTATGTGTGAACAAGGTCTAGACATATCTCTTCAATCAATCAATTAAAGACATTTCAACTCAATGAAACAGGCAGTATCTTAGAACCGGCTGAAGAAAGTCATGCTCTAAAATATAGAAAGCCAGTTCAAAACCCAGCATTCAAGTGTCCGGCCAGCATATGGGAGACAGCAGTCCAACCAAGTCCTTAAGAGGGAATCGTTTGGGTTAGAGAACGAGAGGAAGCCTCCATCTCTTTCCTTTCCTCCATCTTGACCATAGCATGACCTTGTGGGGGCCATCTCTAGTTGTCTTGATCTATATCTTGTCACTGGACCCAGATGGCTCAGGAGGAGAGAGTACGGCTGGTGGCTTTGCACAGCCCTTCCTCACTTAAATCCAATTCACTTGCAAGTCATGGCATCATCTTCCTGATGTCATGGCCCTCTCTGAGAACAAAGGACAAACAATAACAACAACCAAATGACCTTGTAAACTTTGGAGGGTCAAAAGATTTTGACCTTTCATTAGCACCTTAGCCGTACTCCAGGAACAGCAGTGACTAGTAGTAGTATCTGTATCTGGAGCCAAGAACAAATAAAACACCCTAAGGAAAGGCATTTGCAGGACCCTATAAGTAACCCAATTGAGAGAGCTACACCATACTAAGGGAAATATCTTGAGGACTCCAACAAAAGAACTAATAAGGGCTGTGAGTTACCCATTTGCCCCTTGTACATTAAATTTTTGAAAAGATTGTTTTCAATGAACAAAAATCTATTTTCTCTCCCTCTCACCTTCCTCCATCATAAAAAAAAGGAAAAGAACAACAACAACCATCACTTTGTACCAAATATTCATAGTTAAGCAAAATAAATTCCCACATTGGCTATGTCCCAAAAAAATATGTTTCTCAGTCTGTACCCTGAATCCGTCATCTCTCTGTCAGGAGGGGAGGGGGTATGTGCTCTAAACTTGAACCTACTTTCCCCTGGGATTCTGTATGTACCTTTGGGAAAGTGTGCCACAGACTGTTAGGAGATGGATGTTCGTACCAACTGTTCTTACTACACCATGTTAGTAAATACCCTTTTGCTAATTACGTCTGCTGAATAATAGTTATCAACTGATAATCATAAGGAGAAGGCTAACCAGAAAACCACCCTCCAACCCTTGGGCTCTTGTGGATCCCTGAAGTGACAAGTAGCCAGATGCCCTCTGGGGACCAAGCCTACTGCTAATACAGCAGGAATTGGAAGATCAGAGCCTAGGCTAAACAGTAAATATATAAAACAACATTTTGGAATTCAGGAGAAAGACTTCAAACCAAATTAAAAACGTATTTAATTTTAATGGATGATTTAACTGTCCAGTTTATATTTTGCTTTTATGTAATAAATTACTATTATTGCCTCTTTAGACAAGACATTGATATGTTGCTCATAAACCATAAGAGCAGTTGTCTAACTAGGTATATAAAGTTAGGGATTTTTGTTGTCAATTAAACACCTTCATACTTACTGTGGGTGGGAAACTTTGCAGAAGGGACATTATCCAACTGATAGCAAATTTCCTAGATCCCAATCCTAGGTCTCCCTAGAAAATTCAAGGAAAAAAATGTCATATTTATGGAATTTTAGCAATATTCAATAGATTCCTTGAATTAATTATGATAATTGTTTTGCTCAATTTTATAATTACCATTTTTAACAATCCAAATACAGCAAGGTTCTGTGATTTCATTGATGTGGAGAACTTCTGGGATAGAAAAAATCCCAGATGGAGCAACTACTCTCCTCTAGAAGTTATTGGGAGCTACCAGAGATAAGAAGGTGTTCAGTCATTTGCCCAGGGTCATTCTATAGATTGTTCTCATGATTTTACTCTGCATCAGTCTACTCAAGTCTTTCTGAGTTTCTCTGAATTTTTCATAGTCATCATGTATCACAGCAAAATAATTCCATTTTATTGTTATATCAAAATTTGTTTGGCTTTTCTTAACTAATGGGCACTCACTTTGTTTCCAACTCTTTGCTACAATAAAATGTGCTTGCTGTACGTATTTTTATATGTATAGGTCCTTTCCCTCTGCCTTTGACCTCAGGGTAGCATAACTAGTGCCAGATAGACTTAAATACAGGTCTTCATTATTCTAAGTCCAGCATCATCTTTACTATGCTAAACCGCCTCCTTTAAAAAAGAACTATTGTTAAAATATTATTAAATATTATGAAAAATTCAGTTCTCAATTTTAATAATAGTTATTTTTTTAAGAAGGTGGTATAGCAGAGTAAACATCATACTGGACTTGGAACAATGTAAAGGAAAATGACTGAAAGATACCATAACTCTGATCAATTCAGTAACCAGTGATGAGTTCAGCAAACAGATGGTGAAGCATGCCTCCCCACTGTGCAGCAGAGAGGTGATGGACCAGAGGTGCAGAACAAGACATGCATTTTCAGACGTAGTCAATGCTCTGGTTTCTTTTGCCTGACTATGCTTGGTTAATTACAAGGGAAGGCTTTTAATTTTTGATAGAGGGGAAGGGGATTTAATAGGAAGTGATAGAGATGCAGAAAAAAAAGAAATTAAAAATAGCAATAAAATATTAAAAATATAGAGAAGGAAACAAAAGAGTTCAGGAGGGGACACAAAGAGAGTAACTTCATTACTACCTTGCTAAATTTAAAATACAATTTGTTAAAAAAAAAAAAAACAAAAACAAATCCAGATCTTAGTATCCTTTTTGATCTACTTTGGGGTGTTTTACTGAAGACTGTTAAGTTAAAAAGAAAAAAAAAGAAAAGCAGCATAGGCAAGGGAGCCCACCACCAGTGGACAGTTCACCTCCCCAAATAGATCACTTGTATCCTACTTGTTTCTTGTAAATTTCATGACTTTGTAAAAACACAGCTTCTCAACCATTCGTGATTTAGAAAACTAAACATACCTGTAGAGAAACAAGCAGTATTTCATATAAGAGGGAAGTTGCTGTATTTGTGTATTCCAGCATAAGCCTTTGCAACTGGAACAAAGAAAAATAATCAATACGATATCACGAACCAACAATTTTAAGTGAAGGCATGATGCAAAGTCAGAAAGTGAAAATAATCCCTTGGCCCCTGCTCAGGCTCTCTCTCACTCTCCATGCATATATGTGCATATGTGTAAACATGTGCACATATGTATATGGTATGTGTATACATTAATATGTACAGTGTGTGCATATATGTGTGTATGCATGCAGATTGCATTATATATTCATATATTTACATATGCGTGTGTTGCATTTGTATACGTATGTGTGTATGCACACACACATTGTATATACGTTTGAAAGATAGTTGAATTGCTCTGAAATGCAAACGAGGTCAGAACATGTTATAACTCTAGACAATTTTTCTTTCCTAATGAGTTCGCTGTTCATAAGAGAGCGTCTCCAGTGGAGAAGGTCTGTGGTCATCTAGTCCAACTTCCTTTTTCAGATGAGGAAACCTAGGCCCAGGGAAAAGGATAAGTGACATGCTCAGGTCATAACAGGCCTTAGGTGTCAGAGGTAGGGAGGGGTGGTTGTTGTAGTTTGTTTTTCAACTGTATCGGTGATTTTCATGGGTGTAGGAAACTCCTGGCAAACAAACTCCCTTTAGCAATGGAGGTCAGCATCCATTGTGTCATTTAGAGCCATAAAGTTAAGGGACTTCACACAGACAGTAGATATCAGAGGCAGAACTCCCACCCAGACCCTCCTTTACTTTTAGGCCTGTTCTCTATCCGCTATCCAGGCTGTTTTCTCAAGGTGCTTTTTTTTTTTAATGAGCATCAAGTTAGACTGACTGGATGTTGGCTTTTTGCTAATTCAGATGTCATGCACTTAACTCACTATTGAGTGATTTGGGTTAAGATCTTTGGCAGGGGGAAGGGGGGAGCTCTCAATAGATAAGAAACTTGTTTAGTCAAAACCACCAGATATCTGATCCAAAAAACAAGTTGTCTTTATTAGGGAGCTGATTGAAGATAAATTGCTGCACTCAAAGAGAGGAAGGTGTTTATCCTAAATACATACTAAACCTTCTCAGCAGTTCAGACCATTATCTTAATCTTAACAGAGCCCTACACAAGAAGGAGGTCTAGTCTTGACCTCATTTACTCCTCAAGGACTTTGAACCACAATGTCCATATTGATTTCTGTTTTACCACATTAGCACCTTATAACAAAAACCCTTGCTAAGGTCCTATTTTAGAATCACTAATATTTGTTTGTTTTTAAAAGTCTGATCACAGACTAGCTCCAGTGAACTGACATTACTTTATTTTTTTTTTTGATTGTTTGGAACCTGGGTTTCCAAGGCAAGGCTGGAGAATTTTGCTTGAAACTCTTAGAAAGCTGATCTGGCCCTGCGTAACCTCACGAAGGGCAGGCAGATTTGATCCCAGAGACTGTTTGGAACCAATTGTGTTCTCTCTGAGAAGGAATGAAACAATTCTCTCCAAAGCTCTCACATGAGCAGGCATGCTAATATTCCAGATTACTTACATACTTTGTATAATCATAAGTATATGTTGTCTCCCCAATTGAATCTAAGCTCCTTGAGGGCAGGAATGATTTTATTTTTGCCTTTGTATTTCTAGCTTAGCACCCAGCACACAATAGGAACTTAATAAATGCTTTTTGATTGATTGCTAACTAATTAATTTGCACTTTCTAAATTAATGCTTTCTAAATCACTCCATGTTGCTAATAATGCCCTAGGACAGCATCAAAAGGCCAGAAATAATTTTACAAATGTTTGTATTCCTTGGACAGGTACATGGAATAGTACTGGATGAATCCTAAAGCTAACCTTGAACATGAAAAGAGGGTTTTTTCAAAAGTTCTAGGGGTCAGCAATTAGGACAAAGGAGTCCACCCTCATCAGCACATTGAGAAAGAATAAGGGTTCTAGCAAAGCTGAAGAAAGTGCTAGGGCCCCATTCTTGCTCATTCTTGTAGGTGAGGAGGTGGAATGTGCTGAGATATCCTAATGCAGGGTTCCAAGTGCAAAGAGCTGGTGTCTGTCTTTAGGCGAACAGAGATAGATTTCGGGGCAGGAACTAGATTTGTCTTCTCTGTTTTCCTTCTTTTACTGGAAGCCTTCCCATCCCCTCTCAATTCTGGTGCTTTCCCTCTGTTAATTATTTCCTACTTATCCTATATATAGCTTGCTTTGTATATTTTTGTTTGCATGCTGTCTCCCCTGTTCAATTGTTTGTTGTGTTTGTTTTGTTCAGTTTTTTTTTTGGCTAGGCAATAGGGTTAGGTGACTTGTCCAGGTCATACAGCTAGTAAGTCTTATGTGTCTGAGACCGAATTTGAACTCAGGTCCTTCTGAATCCAGGGCCAGTGCTCTATCCACTTTGCCACCCAGCTGCCCCTCCCCTGTTCGATTGTAAGCTCCTTGAGGGCAGGGACTATCATTTCCTTCTTTTTTATATCCTCAGCTCTTAGCATAGTGGCTAGCACATAGCAGGTGCTAAATTAATGTTTACCAGTTGATTGACTGTGAGATGAAGGAGCAAGGTGGGGTTGTGCCCCAGCCTCCTCTGTGCACAAGGGGAAACTGGTCTTCGATGCAATTTATTAATCTGTGCCTATCACCCCCACGACTATCTGAGGACTCCCTATTCCTTATTACCCTAAAGGGTAGTAGAGAGTGAGGAAGGTAGTCCTTGATAATCAAGTCAACAAGCATTCCTTGAGCGTTTACCAAGTGCACAGCACTGCGCTAATTGCAGGAGATATAAAGAAAGGCAAAAATACAGTTCCTGCCCTCAAGGAGCTCACATTCTAAAGGGAGAGGCAACATGCAAACAAGAATGTAGAAAACACAATATTTACAGGGTAAATTGGAGGCAGTGTTAAAGAGAAGCATCAAGGAGCACTGAGAAAGGCTTCCTGCTGAGAGTGGGATTGGAGCTGAGCCCTGGAGGAAGCCAGGGAAGCCAGAAGGAGGAGGCAAGTAGGGAGAGTATTCCAGGCATGGGAGGCAGCCAAGGAAAACAGGCAGAGTTGGGAGATGCATTGTCTGCTGCAGGAACCAAAAAGTCAACATCTGTCGATGGATCACAGCCTACCTGGAGGGGAATAAAGTTTAAAAAGAATGGAAAAGTAGGAAGGAGACAGGCTCTGAAGAGGTTTAAAAGCCTAACAGAGGATTTTATATTCCTGAAGATAATAGGGAGCCATTTTTTCTTAAAATATTATTATTTATCTATTACATATTATTTATATACAAATAATATATATTAATAATAATATTATTTTTCTCTGTATCTTGATAATGGAATTAAGTTTATATAAACCAGCTCCTTGAGGACAGGACCATTGGGGCTTTTGTCTTTGTATTTCCAGTACGGGTCTTGTATATAAGTGTATATGTGTGTGTATGTATATGTACATATAGGTATATGTATATATATATACAGATACATATATAAAGCACTTAATAAATGTTTGTTAATTTGAACTGAATACTACAAAGACTTCTAAAAATAGTTTGTCTTTAATGATCAAATGCTGTAATGAAGTCTTCTGTAAACCAAGTAAAACGCATGGACTATATTGATGACATAGTAATCTCATGTGTCCTGAATTCAGTGACTGAAAAATTATGAACTTAATATTATTATCTCTTTCCCAGTGCCCCGGGCCCTGTGAAAAGAGGGTACCTATGTAACATGTCTCATCTACTCCAAAAATGTTTTGTCTTACCTTAGCATCAAAGGACAGCTCTACTAAAGATGAATCAGTCACAAACTGGACACCAAATACAGGACAAGATTTGGGAATTTCAGGTTCACTGACTAAAATTATCAAAAGAGTAATTAATGTTCCCCTGTAAAATACATAAAAGGGAAATAATGAGTAAAAATCTGTAGATTCAGGTAGAATTCAGACATGATGACCACAAGTAATAATAACTAGCATTTATATATTACTATTTATAGTAATTTAAGGTCTGCAAAGCGCTTTATAAATTTATCTTATTTTAGCCTCACAAGAACCCTGAGAGGAAGGTGCTATTTATTAATCCCATTTTACAGATGAAACTGAGGCAGATAGCTGTTGAGTGTCTTGCCCAAGGTCACAGAGTTAGTAAGCATCCGAGGGAGAATTCGAATTCAGGTCTTCCTGACTACTTCCTTACTGACTACAGTGTTCTGTGTACGATGGCACCATCTAGTGTAGCTAACCATACTTAAGAGTACTAAATTTCTTCTAGTACTAAGTTTTTTCCCAGATACATGGACAGAAAGATATGGGACACCTGCTAAGGAAGTGTTATTTAGCGTAGAAAAAAAAAAAGTAAAGTAGAATTCTATAATTTGAGGGCTAGAAAAAAGCCCTGGATTTGGAGTCAAAAGACCTGGGTTTGAATCATGGGTCTCCTGTTCACTAGGTGTGTGACATTGGACAATTTGTGCAATATCTCTTGCTTTCCATATCCTCATCTGTAAAATGGGATATGGGCAGCTAAATGACATCTAAGATCCCTACCGATTCAATATGCAATGACCTTATTATTAGTAGGTCTGACTCTTGTTGAATCTATGCAGTACTATGCAAAATAATGAGGCAAACAGCTGATACAGTGGATAGAACAACACCTGACCTAAAGTCAGGAAGACCTGAATTCAAATCTGGCCTCAGGCACTTATTAGCTGTGTGACCCTGGGTAAATCACTTAACTTCTGTTTGCCTCAGTTTCCTCATTTGTAAAAGAGGGGTGATAACAGCCCCTACTTCCTAGGGTTGTTGTGAGGATCAAATGAGATAATATTTGTAAAGCACTTTTTAAGCCTAAAAAAATAGCCTTTATACATGCTAGCGATTACTAATATTATGATGATGATGATGATGAGAATCTGGGTGATTTGCATTGCAGGCATTACTGAAAATTTGCTCATAAGATGCCATGTGTTCCAGGAAATGTAGAAGCACAAAAACAGAAGACACTCTTGCTAAAATCAATTTGTCCAACCACCTCCTAGATCAAATGTGGAAACTGAGGCTTTGGGGAAATTGGGATGTCCCTAGTGCAGAGGCATAACTAGTGTCAGTGACTGGGGCTTTACTGCAGAGTGCCAATATGGGGAGGGAGTAGTGAACACTCATTCCCGGTCCCCTCCCTACCACCAGCTCAGGATCTGGCTTTGCTTAGCACAGCACTGGTGGGATTGCACCCCACCTAGAGCAGACAGCTCCTATCATGCAATCTGGCCTGTAACTAACAGCAGGATGAATAGGGATGGCAGCATCTGTGCCCTTCTCATTGACCTCCTCAGCAGGCAGATTCAAGGTATCCTGGGGTTTTTGCTTTCTCACTCCCTCCCCAACAGAATTAGTTCCACTCTGGCCCGATGTCACATTGCTAGTTAATGAGTTAGAGGCTTGGCTAAGACTAACACCAAGGGTGTTCTGGAGCCAGCTCAAACTGGCTAAGAGAACTGATAGTTAGATTATCAGTATGAGCAGTTATTTACTCATCGGAAATGGGTAAAAACTACAAATCAGAGCTTGATTTCTTGTTTTACTGAGTGCTTAGACATAAGCGATAGGAAAAAATGTTAATAATGGATATAAAACTTAAAATTGTGTCAAGCAAACAGAGAGCTGGTTATTAAATAGATATCAGAACACAGCCTGACTAGACCTCAACTTTCCTAATTTCTAGTCCAGTGTTCTGTCTAGTACCATTTTCTCATAGAAAAGTGCTAGAAAACTATGCCTTTTGGTTAAAACAAAGAATAAGCCAAAACATATGCCCATATTCATATATAAGGGACAATACATATAGATGCCCAACACATGAAAATGGGCCATTAGAAAAATTTGGTATTTATACGTAACTTAATGTCCTAAAAGAAATAATTAAAAATATCAACTATAGTGCAGGTGTGGGGAACCTGTAGCCTTGAGGCCACATGTGACCCTCTAGGTCCTCAAGTGTGGCCTTTTGACTGAATCCAAACTTCACAGAACAAATCTCCTTAATAAAAGGATAGTAATATACTATACACATTTCTTTCATATCAGAATAAAACATACTCTTAGTTCTAGAAATAATTCTTGCTTAGTAATAACTACAAAAAGTTTCCACTCTAATTTTGTAAATACTTTTTTGCTAATAGCAATCATACATTGATGAATCTAAATTTTAAATGGAGATACAATCTCTACTTCCCCCTAAAAAGAAAGACCAATCCTTACATTTGGATAAATTGCAAATTAGGGCTAAGGCACAGAAGCTGGTTTAGTTTCCATGACACCATCAGATCCTGAGAGATATATGTAAAAAGGCTTAAAGAACATAGCTAAAATAAAATATTCAAATGCAACTAGTGAAATTTTTAAATGAACAATAGTTTTATTTGCACTTATTCAAATAGAACTTAATCTTTAAAAAAGCTCTCTTCAAAAGGGAGAAATTCTAAACTTAGGCTGACAGATGGATGAATGAAATTTTAATTTAAATTACAATTTTCCTAGAGTTTTAGAGCCTGAAAATAGGGATTACTGTAGAGTTCCTACCTCATATATAATGATTTGATACTCTTATAGTTAATTGATACTATTCTTATTTTCAAAGTGTAAAAATAAAAATATAGCAGAATGTTTTTATAATTCTCATCTTTGTAGGCAATCTTAACATCCACTTGATATAATCTGTTATATTAGATATTTATTGCATTTAGCTAATGAGTGACAGTATTACACAGAGATAGAGGATCTTAAAGTAAAGGGTTCAAGTGCTATTTCTGACACATACCACCTCTGTAGACTTAGGCAAGTCACTGAAACTCTTAATGTCCCAAGCAGCTTTCTGAGACCATAAATTACAAAGGAGTTGCTGGTATACACCAGAGTTGCTATAGTCCATCTTTGGAGGGAGCTTCTCTACCCAGGAGTTCCCTGCATTGTTGCAATGACAAGTCCAGGCCCCACTTCCACCCCCAAAAAGTTGATGTTATAGTGATGATGGGGTGCTTGAGTGCTTATACTGGGACCCCAGTTCCAAGACCATATTGCTCCCTAGCCTCAGAAACACTATCCCTGGCAGCTTCTCCCCAGCCCAAGGACACTATGCCTAGCAATTACTCATGAGTGGGTCTCAGCAACACACATCTCTTTCCCTGGTGCAGTTACAAACTGCACCTGTAGGAGTTATTACTTTGAATTTGCTTTGTACTGGCTCATAAAGATATTCGTACTCACTGGACTATCTATACCAACTGCCTACCTCATTATCTGCATCCTGGACTCCTCATGTGTATCCTAGACTTAAGACATATGTATACTGCCTACATCTTTCTTGTCAAACAAGACATTGATTGGTGGCAGACTGGACAACTCTCAGTCGGCCCTGACCACTAATTAACTTAGTGACTTAGCAGACCTAAAAACCACACCTCCCTGTAACCCCACCTTGGGCTTTTCCTGGTGAACTCTGGGTAAAACGTCTGTGCAGTAGATACAAAAAGTGCATGTTCTTTTAAGAACTGACCATTTCTTAACCACTCCCTAATCTCACCCTGAATCACCTAGTTAGCCTATTTGACACGTTTTACCAAAATTTATCCTATATAAACTTTAACTGAACCCCTCTAAGGCCGCAGGCTCCTTAAGAACCTTTGCCCACTGAAAAGTGTAACAACAAACTTTTGCCAACTTGACTTAAAGAATGCTTGAGTCTGTGAATTCCAGATGACCCTGTATTGTACTTCGGTCCTTGAGGGGTCTCTGAACCTCTCAGACAGCAACAGTTATATGATTTGACCCTCATCACATCCAAATCTTGAATTACAAGTAAGGATCTTGAATTACAAGAAAGAATTCCATAGATCAGAGGAAAGGACTTAAGATAGTGGAACTAATAGAGTCCATACCAATGAGTAGAAGTTCTTTTACATGTAACTCCTCAAACAGTCGATGAGAAAGAGGTCAGTGAGGAGGTTGTGAGATATGGATTTGTTTCAACAGGACTTTTTTTCCCCAAGCTTAAATAAAGGAACAGAAGGAACATTCAGTGGTACCACTGTATATTAAGTGGCTAGCTTCAGCAACAGTCTAGATATAGGATGAGAGGAGATGAAAGTTAGAGATGATAATGTAAATCCTCATTTCAGAGGTAGGGAAATAGGGAGGTTCCAACAGTAATAAGGAAGTGGAAAAGAGAACTGTTTAGAGCTGGGTTCCCCATGAGAACCCCCAGAGACCATGAATGACCTGGAAGAGGTTTCTGATGCTCTCCTCTCAATCTTGGGTGCAGACACCTAAGTACAAGATAACTGAGGAGGGAGAGGGAATAACAAACAGAGAAACCCCAAAATGCTACCTTTCAGATTTATGTGAACTAATGCAAACAGAACCAAGAAAGCCATATACATAGCTACAGTAATGTAAATGAAAAGAACAGAAAAACTAAGCCTAAAACTGTATGATTGTAATCAATCGATAAACATTTCTTAAGTACCTACTATGTGCCAGGTACTGTACTAAGAGCAGGGGATACAAAAAGGCAAAAAACAGTCCCTGCCCTCAAGGAGCTTACAATCCAGTGGGGGAGATGACATGCAAAAAAATACATACAAAGCAAGCTATATGCAGGATAATTAGGAAATAATTAACAGAAGAAAAGCAATAGAATAAAGGGGTTGGGAAAGATTTCCTGTAAAAGATGGGATTTTAGTTGGTACTTAACCAGGAACGACCAATCTTGGTACCAGAGGTGAGACTAAGAAAATGCACCTCACTCCTTTCCTTGGGGAGGAGAGGGAAAGGGGCAGGTATCTGACACATGCCGGAAGAAGAAATAAGAAATGCACCTCTTTCCTTTTGCTGGAGAGATGAGGGATTGACTTAGTGCAAAAAGTTGTATACTCTGTCAGGCTGCCAGATTACCTCAATGTGTTGGCTGGTCTGGCTTAATTGTTTTTCTATGTTACAAAGGAAGGCTTGCTGGGTGAGGATGAGGTGGGGGTGAGGGGGATAGCATACCCAGAAATAACTATGCCTGAAAACAAAAGACATCAATAAAATTTTAATTAGCAGCAACAAAGAGAAATCATACCCTTAGGGCGGTCATAACAATATTTTAATTTCTAAATTGCCTAAGAATAAAAATCTTAGTGGAGTGATTAAACAAATAATGTTCAAAGCATGGAGACATACTATCTGCCCTCCAATTCACAGCCTAGATGCACCTATCAGAAAAATCCTCATGGAGACTGCTGGCTTTGAGTGTAACATGACTCACTCCATCTCTGCCATATTAACCAGATCAGTGCTTCTCAAATTTTTTTAGTCTACTAAAAAATGAAACTGACTTAAGAAAATTTTTTTTTCCTTTTAATAATTCAGAGGCACACAGGATGCATCAGTTAGCAGCTGGGAGTATGACTGATGAAAAGAGCTATCTAAAACCTCTTCTGTGTGCTGTCACCAAAGACAAGAGATGCTAGAATGAAAGCTGGGTTTTCATAAGTACTTTGAAGATAACAGTGACAGATTGATTAAGTGATACTGTTAGCCCAGAAGCATAACCTTAGGAACCAGCAGAGGACATATGAACAGAATAGGAGGGATGGACTACATGTGAATAAAGGAAGAAATTATCTATCTACTACAACAAATACATCCATCTATACAGGATGTCCCAAAAGTCTTGGTGCAGTTTAAAACTTGTTGTTTTAAACATTATAAAGCGGTATTTTTGAGGGTGGCAAAAAACTTTTGACCAAGTGGATGCCGATCAATTGAGGAATGGCTGACCAAATTGTGGTATATGCATATAGAATGTAATATTACTGCCCACAAGAAACAATAAATATGAAGAGTTCAAGAAGCATGGGAAGATTTGTATAAACTGGTGTAGAGTTAAGTAAGTAAAACTAAGACAACATTACATGAAGAACAAAATTAATTAATTGTAATGACCAATCTCTGTCTAGAGAACTGATGATGAGAACTACCTCTCTTCTCTCACCAGAGTGGTGGGTGTATGAGGAACGTGGAATGTGGCATTAACTGTTTTTCTTTGTTAGAGGTAGGGTTCGATATGTGGGGAAAGGGTAGTTGGTTTGCCACCTTTTTTATGAAGCCTCTTGAAGTGAGAGAAATGATTATTAAATAACCAATTATTAGGGAGATCCAGGGTTTTTTCCCTTCTTATCTCCTCATTCTCTACTGGGTCAAGTCAGCATTGGAAGGACATTGCTGATAATGAGATTGGATTAACTTTCTCCTCAATCTTGTTCAGAACCCACCCAAGTGGGAAGCCCATTGTGTTTTACTCTGCCTTGGGTGTGAGGGGGAGGGTGTAGATCCTTTGTCTAGATTGCCTTAAGCTAGGGGTGGTCTGGGAGTGAGAGTGATCAAAGTCATGTCCCCTGTCTCCTCATTAGAGTAGGTCTGCCTCTCATCATAATACTCATTCTCTCATTACTTGTTAACCAATCAGAGTTGATTGCTATCCTCAGGAACACCCACTTTTCCAAAGGCATATAAGCATTGAGTGGGTTTCAATTTTGCCATTCAAGAGGGTCATGGGTCTTTGGCATTCAAGTGTGCCACTGACCCCATTTATTAATTATCCACTAGCATGATTAATAAAATGATTCATTACCCTGAAATTACATCTCTCAAACTTTTTATACATCACAGAAGGCTACGAAGCCTGTCTTTTCAGATTAATGTTTTGGAATGCGTAAAATAAAATACATAGGATTACCACGGAAACCACTTATATTGAAATACAGTTATCAACTTTTTTTAAAAGTTCACAGCCCCCAGGTTAAGAGCTCCTGGTTTAAAGAAAGATGACTGATATAAAAACAAAAGGCAGATAAAACATTTTTAAAACGAGGAGACAAATGTGTAATGGTTATAGACATGTTTGCAAAACACAAATAGGGTGATGAGCTGCAGAAGGCTTTGAAAAGACTATTGAAAGCCCTCAAACCACTGTCTCTAGACATCTTCACCAAATCCTCACCATTTTGCAACTAAAGTGTTCAGGCGTGATAACTCAGTTTCCGTTTCTCTGAACATCAGTCCCAGAGTCTGGAGAATCTGAATGCAAGCCCTAGGAAACAAAGAAAATCAAGAAGCTGTGAAAACAGCTACAAGATAGCTTTCTTTTCCCCTCCCCTAACTGTGAGCTCATTAGCAATCTGTTACTTAATAACCCAATAAGCCTGAATAGAATAGTTAAAATATCCACGTGAAACAAAGATCAGGTATTACCAGTATCATTGTTTGGTCCAGTACTAAATTCCTTTGCTTTTCTTTTGTTATGAATTAAAAATTAAAATTAAAATTTTTAAATCTATAATTTTCCCAACAGATAACTTACTCAAGTTGATCAGCCCTGTGGCTTTTATTTTGAACTGCTTTGGGATCCTGAGGTTTAGGCAAGTACTCATGAAGCTTGCTCACTAGGAAACAGTACAGGTCGCCAGTCTGTGAAAGGAAAAGAGAAAGAAGACAGTCATTCAAGGAAAAAGTGTTCCTAGTTCCCTAGGTATGAGATCTTACATAATCAAGGACCAAGGAATGATTTGTCCTTTGATTAAATGAGACAATGAGCTACAGTATTTCGCTTAAACGCCAGCACAACCAAACTGGAGGCCATCCTTTCCCAGAAAGAAACTTACTATTGTAAAAAGAGATAGTCTGTCTTAGTGGGAAAGAGTGAAGGCCTGGAAGGGCAGATCTAGCCATCGAGATAATGTATCTCATTGAAAACTTTAAAGCCTAATATAAATGCCAGCTATTTGTATTATTAGCAGGCATGGTATCCTAGCATACAGAGGCCAGCCTTGCAGGCAAGAAGACTTGTTTCTGACACATACTAGCTATGAATGAGACATTTGACCTCTCAGACACTAGACAAAGAGAGAGAGAGAGAGAGAGAAAAGAGAGAGAGAGAGAGAGAGAGAGAGAGAGAGAGAGAGAGAGAGAGAGAGAGAGAGGAAGAGAGAGAGAGAGAGAAATGGATGGATGGATAGATGGATGGATGGATAGACAGACAGATAGATAGTGTGAGAAATGAAACAGTTAAGTTTCCACATAAGTAGATAAGAAATCAGCACAAACAGGCTAACTTCTCTGTCCAGGGTGGGGAGGGACATCACAATTCTAGGCACATAATGTATGTTAAGGGTGGGGCGTATAAGAAAGATTGTAAACCAGAAGGATTAGGACCAATCCTGATCCAGAAGGGAGGAGTTAGGCAATTACTAACAATTACTAACTATACAGCTTGCTCTGGCTTCTGGCACTCTCCCCTTCAAAGGAGGTGTGCTCGCTTCTCGAGAGAATCGAAAGGACGTACTTCAACCTCTTTAATAAAAAGTCTTTGAGACATCAGTATTCCGAACTGAGTCTGGGATCATCTTTATAACAGATAGGTGGATGGATGGATGGATGGATGGATGGATGGATGGATGGATGGATGGATGGAGAGAAGATAGAGAGGTAGATATACAGATAGTTGATAGACATAGATAATACAAAGATAAATAGACGACAGATAAAGACAGACAGAAAGAGAAAGAGAGGTAGGAATGAAACATAGATTGATGATAGAGATGATAGGAAAACAGATAGATGATATATAGCTGATAGGTAGGTAAGTAGAGGAAGGGCACATTAAGTGCTTATTCTGTACTGGATATCATACCGAGTTCTGAGGAAAGAAATACACGCCAATAAAATCATCCTAATACTCAAGGAGCTTACATTTTAATGGGGGAAAATAACACATATGGGGGAAGCTTGAAAGCAGGGAGGGAAGGGGCAGAACGGTAATACAACAGAGAGATGTAAAGTGCTCTGTAATGTCTGGAGAGGAGTGCTTACTAATTGGGGTGGAATTTTTGCCATTCTGCATCAAAGACACTAGAAGTTACACACCAGGTGCTCCCTACACTGATGAAATCTTAAGTGTATATCCAGAAAGAAAAAAATAATAATGCAATCATCATTTAATTCAATTCAACAATTCAATAAGGTTCTTACTGCGGCATTTTTGCTAGGTGCTGTAAATGTAAAAATAAAATTGGTTCAGTCCTAGTTCTATCACCAACTAGCTGTGGAACTTTAGGCCAATCGCACAATCTCTTTGTTCTCATCTGGTCAATTTTTTTCTCTTGTGAATCTGTGATTTTATTGGACATAGGGAATTTCCAGCAAGAAAACTTCCTCTCCCAATGCAGATTGGCAATGGTTCTTCAATTTACACTTGTAACCCTAAGAACTTGAGTCACTTTCCAATAGTTGAACATCCAGCATATGTCAAAGACAAGAACTGAACCCAGGTCTTCCTGACTGAAGGCCAGCCATTTAACTAATAGCCTGCCTCTTACTGTTCAAGAGGGATACCTATATTAGCAACATCATAGAACTATTCATGAGATAAAGTGGAATGATAGATGGGGAAAGTGCTATTTTCAGGAAATATGAGGTATTGGTGTGTTCTAAACAAAGGATATTGAACTGAAAACTATCTTAAAACTTACATTAATGAAAAGAATTTGTGGATTGAGAGATGACAGCCATAGATAGATAAGATAGATAAGAAGGTAGGTAGGTAGATAGAGGCAGATAAGAGATAGATAGATAGATAGATAGATAGATAGATAGATAGATAGATAGATAGATAGATAGATAGATAGATAGATGGATGGATGGATGGATGGATGGATGGATGGATGGATGGATGGATGGATGGATGGATGGATGGATGGATGGATGGATGGATAGATAGATGACTGTGTCAAGTTTTTATGACACCATAAATTAGTAAGTAACAAAGTTGGTATCATCCTCTTCCAGTAATGCTATTTGCTGTAAAATTAAGAAACTAGTGTCACAATCTTGACTAATTGGATCAACCTGGCATTAAGATAAACACTAGCTTATGAAATCATGCCAGTTGGAACAAATGCAAACTTTATTCTTCTCTACTTTCCTTTTTGCTTGATTTTCTTAGAACTAATGTTTACAGAGGACACATTTGCTGCAGACTAGTCACAGAATTCTGCAGTAGCGGGATTGGCAGGGGGGACCTTAGGGAGTTGTTGAACAGATTAGAAGCCTAAATGTGCCAGGGTTAATCCATCCCCTTCACAGCAATGGAGTGACTTGCTTTGGTGTTATATTAACCTGAGGAGATGATAAAGCATTAGAAAGATGCTAAACTAAGCTGGGAATAATTGTATGGGGGCGTTGAGGGAAGGCAAGAGCAAGGAAGGAGGAGAAGTGATTTCTGAGGTGCTAAGACATACTTCTTCCTCACCAAGTTTTCTCTCTCCTATTCAAGCACTCTATGAATGTGTACATGTATGCACATGTGTGTTTTAATTATATTCGCAGATGCCTGGAATTCTGCCATTAGAGTTTCATTCCTTTAGTCCAAGGCTTTAACACCCATGAAAATGTGAATAACTCTGACAACTCTTACTAGTCATTCATACTGTATTTGTGAATGAAGGATTTGGGAGCAGGTTTCGATCATGAGAAGGGGAGAGAAAGAGTAAGCACTAAGGGAAGAGAAGTAAGGGATACTAGGGATAGTAAGGACAGGGAGAAAAGAAGCATCAGTTTGGGGTCTAGAGAAGGAGAAGGAAAGGGAAGAAGCAGTCATGTATTGGCTACTATGTGCCAGGCACTGTGCTAAGTGCTTTCTACAAATATTGTCTTGTTTGATCCTTACAACTACCCTGTGAGGTAAGTGCTATTATGATCCCCATTTTAAAGTTGAAGAAAAGCACAGAACAAGGACGCTGGAGATGGTGCAGACAGATTACTTACTTAGAAGTTACTCTCAGAGTAGGTTGCCTGAGAGGTTGATGCCAAAAGCTTACCAGTCATAACTCCAATCCCAATTCCAGGGAAGTGAACACAAAGGCCTGATCAGTGTTCACCTCCATGGTGCCAAGGGGTCACTGGAATCCCAAAGGGACACCTAAGCCACCTCAGATAATCTTAGATGGGAACGAGAACTGGAGGCCTAGCTACTCAAACCAGATCCAGCTGATTAAATGGGTCTAGAATAGATGCAGGGCAGCTATGTAGTGAAGTGGATACAATGCTGGGCCTGAAGTCAAGAAGACTCAAGTTCCTGAGTTCAAATCCGGCCTCAGACACTTACTAGCTATGTAACTCTGGGCAAGTTATTTAACCCTGTTTGCTTTAGTTTCCTCATCTGTAAAATGAGCTGGAGAAGGAAATGACAAATCACTCCAGTATCTATGCCAAGAAAACCCCGAATGGGGTCACAGAGAATCAGACAAGACTGAAAAATGATTTAATGGATAGATACAAAATAAAATACAACTGAGGCAGTTAGGTTTCCTAGTGGATAGAGATCTGGACCTGAAATCAGGAAGATCTGACTTCAGATCCAGCCTTACATACTTATTAACTGTATGATCCTGGGCGAGTCACTTAATTGCTGTATACCTCAGTTTCCCCATCTATAAAATGGGGGTAATATTAGCCCCTACCTCTCAGGGTTGTTGTAATCAATTGAGATATTTGAAAAGCACTTTGCAAACCTTAAAGAGCTAAATAAATACTATCATTTTATTATAATTATTTCAGAAATTATTATTATCATTAATATCATAATATCAAATTAATTAATGATATAATTATTAAATTATTGTATGTCCTATGGGTTTAAGTCAAGTAAAGCCTGAAGGATCAGCAAGTTTCCAAAGCTAGGGGTGGGAGAGGGGAAAAGCAGTAAAATAGAAATCCAGGCAAAAAGCTTGAAAACCTTGGGTTCAGAATTTAGCTTAGGTTACCTGGTATAAAGCACCTAAATAACAAGAAAGGTTGGCTCTGGGCCAAATGTTGCCTGAGCCACAGTTTCTCCTTGCTTTGTGCCAACAGTAGGAAACCATGAAATTGAGAGAGGTAGACAAGTCCCCACAAGCAAGCAGATGCAAAGGAGGGGCCATGAAGAGTGGTTGGCAGAAACTATGCCGGTGAACAGCTGTGATAAGCCCTGATCCAGGCAGTGAAAATAGTTTAAGCACAAACTATGAGTCTGGAGAAAATCAGCACCACTGATGGAACATAGGCCAGGAAGAGAGTTGATACCAATACTTCCAACAATGCTTCCTTCCTTTCCCTCCCCTCGCCCCAAGGAGAGAGTCAAATGTACTACAGGTTATCCATTCACTCTAAACTCTGTGCTTTTTCCCAGCTTGGAACTATGACCATGAAGTTACTAAACTGAACTGGTGGTATCATTAGGCTATACCCCAAAGAGATCAAAGAAAAAGGGAAAAGGCCCAGATGTTCCAAAATATTTACAGCAGCTCTTTTTGTAGTGAAAAAGAGGTGGAAACTATGAGGGTGGTGTGGGATGGAACTAATCAATTGGGGAGTGACTGAACAATTGAATGTAATGGAATGTTATTGTGCTATAAGAAATGGTTTTTAGAGAA